ATCCTCAAAGTCGCAGGGGCAGGTGCTATCACCCATCCTGTCGAAAGCAAACTCGGGCATTGGGTCTTCTTGTGGCCCTGCTGACTGCAATGAAAACATATTAGGTTTGACCGCTAAGTGGTGGTAGCAGTACAATCTCTGCTAAAATGACCAGTCCCGCTGCACTTGAAGCAACCATAATCACCACCACTACCACTCCTACACGCACCCTCGTGCGTCCTGCCACACTTCCCATATCGGCCACGACTCTGAAAATCCCTCAATTTCGAATCTGACCCCTTGGGCCTTTTTCCCGAACCTCTGGCTACCTGAATCTCATCCGACTTCCTCTTCCTGATCTGCTCCAGATCAATCTCCCTTTCTCTGGCCCGAGCAATCATGTCCTCCAGCGTCTTTCAGCTGGACGTGCTCACAAACTCTTTGATGTCACTCCTCAACATCTCATGATATCGGGCCTTCTTCATCTCCTCATCCGCAACATACTGTGGAACAAGAAGAGCCCTCTATCTGAACTTGGCGGTGATCTCCGCCACAATCTCAGTCGTTTGCTGAAGATCTTGGAACTCCTATGCCAGCTGCTGCACCTCAATAATTGGTGCAAAATCATCTCTGAACCTGGCCGAGAAATCACTCAATATCATCGCGTCCAATGCAACATCATCACCAATGGCATGTCCAACCTCCTCCCACCAATCTCGTGCTTTGTCCTTCAGAAGACAGGAGGCAAGTCGTACCTTGTCCCCTCGGGACACTGACTTGTACGGAAAGCGTTGGAAACATCGGCCAACCATCTGCTGCTAGCAATGAGGTCCCTAGCCCCATGATAATCAGGAGCTCCACAGGCTCTAAACTCTCGGAATGTTAAGGTACGTGCTCCCATCAAAGCCATCATCTCTGCACGAAAGGCTCCCAACCACTCGTCCAAAATCTCTAGTATACCCTCCTTGACTGTGCCAAAAATCACAGGAGTCTGGTCCAAGATACTACGTGTGATCTTAGTTGATACAAACTCTCTCATCCGCTCCTCGAGCTGCTCAATCCCTGAACCCGATCCTGATCCCTCTCTGACACCTGATCCGCCCACTGGCCTCTCGCACAATGTCAACATATTGCAAACATATCATAATAACTATCAAAATACACATCACTGCTGCGGGATCACACATACACACACTACAAGTTTCCTGGTTTCATCTTGGCCCTTCTTAAATCGAGTACGAAATCTCTACCTTTAGTAGTATGGGCCCCTACTACCTTCCACATCTATCTGTACTTTCCTCAAGAATTGCTTCGACTACACCAAGTCCCTTTCATTGCTACTAACACTGCTCCCAACACTACTCTCATCCTAGGATTACCCTAGGGAAATATCCGACCCAACCAGTCCTCAGCTGCTGAAGGTCTCCTCGTGATGCCGATTAGCCATCACCTGAATACCATCACATGTAACGAGGCTCAGATAATCTTTCGAGTAAGGGACTCATCCCTACAACGGTTAGAATCATACGAGAGTTGCGCAATAGAGTCAAATCCAATACTCTAAGATTATTCAACCCTGATTACATGTGACTTAACGTATTCACCTAACAACTAACTCCTATCAATCAGAATCCCACAAAGCACAAAGCAAGCACAATCATACAAAGAAAAGTCTAATCATAACATCATCAAGCAATCATATTCACATATCAAGAATCTATACTAGCATGCGACATAAGCTCATATACTCAGGTATAACCTAAACAGACTATCCTACCACTGTCTAACCAATACTATCATGCAGCTCAAAAGCACATATAACAGGCACATAAGGCATCCTCTCTAGATCCTTAGTCCTAATCTAGCATGATGTTCTACTAACTGATAATCATAACATAACTTGTATGGGTATTTTGGGAGAACTTACTTGAGCTTGGCTGATTGCATGCACCACACCCTTTTCTCTTTTCTCTTTTCAAAGTTCTTTTCTTTCTAAAATACCTTTCGCTTTTTCTAAAACTCTTTTTCTTTTCCCAAAAAATTCATCTTTACGAAAACTGATTTTCTTTTGAAAATTTCTATACCAATTCCTCAGTTTGAGTCCAGACACACCCGAAAGTATGTCCGAATCCCTTAAACCAAGACTCTGATACCAACTTGTAACGACCCAAAAATCACAACTAAAATTTTCCTTTAAAACATTACTAAAACCATATTTATAAACCATAACATAAGTCATCTCATAAATTCGGAGTATCAATTCAAAACATGTTCTCATTATCAGAGTAAACATCCCAGACTGACTAACTATGGTGTGTGTCATGCAATCACCCCGAGCTCTTCCCACCGCCATCAGAAGTACCTGAAACCAAAACTGCAAATTGTAAGTACAAAGCTTAGTGAGTTTCCCAACCTACCACATACCGTACACATAACTGCATACTGCAAATACTGGGCCTCGCCCACTAACATATACATCAACGATGCTCTAACAACCCTTACCCCTAATAGAGGGCCAACAAATAACCAAACAAATAGAGGTCTGCTTCAAACCAACTGAAATGCTATGGGCCAACCATATTCTTACAATCACTCATGTTGCTATAGCTTAACTGCAATCTTTCCTGCCATGATCCGACCATGGTCTTCCATATGTGAATGATATGATTTAACCGTAGTCTTACAGACACTTCTATTGTTGCAGCCTACCTGCAGTCTCTCCTGCCATGATTCAACCTAGTTTTTCATATGTGAATGCTATGATCCAACCATAGTCTTACAATCACTTCCAGCCTATTTCAGCCAAACAAATGCTATAAGCCAAATTGTAGTATTACAACACTCATGTGAATGCTATATGCCTGATTTCACCTTAACAAGGGAAAAGAAAGAAAATAGATAGAAATAAGAATAAAATAAAAATAATTAGTTGAGTTTTATTAATGGAAAAAATAAAAATAGAAGGAAAACTTCCCCTTATACTCAGGACCGATTCAAACTGATTTGAGGCCCTGAACAAAATAAAAAAATAAAACCCTTAATAGTAAACCTTTTTCCATTGCATGCGACAATTTAGTATCAAACATTTTTTTTATAACAATAATACATACATAAAAAAAAAAAAAACCCTTATAAATCTGGAAGCTTTGGACAATCGTCCATGTGGACCCTCCCTCTCTTACAACCTTGTTTCTACTTTGGTTCAAATTTGAAAAAAAAAAACAAGATATTCAATTTGTTTTAACTTCTTTCCTTTCAAACTTGGGAACACAAATTTTTTTTTTCTAGGTGAAAACAAGGGCATAAAGTGTTAAAGATAACTAAATAAAGGGTTAAAATTTTCAAGCAGGAAAATGAAATCTTATCGGCGGACTTAGATTTTGAAATTTACGAAATCCAAAATATATCCAAAACATATCCGAGTGTTCACACGTGTGTTAATTACCGGCTTCCCAAAATAGCATTTACTACCAGTTTTATTATTTCTTTTTAGATTTAGATTATTTAAAATAATAGTAAAACATCAAATATATTTCTATATTTCTAATTTGTATTAAAAATTTATTTTAATAATTAATGCCTTCACAGTTATATCATATCAAATATAATTAATGACCGTTATGTTTATATTTGTTGGCATTTTGTATTAATTGCCTATCCATTTAATTATTTCAACTAAACTTAGGTGTAATATGATAATTTTTTTTTCGAAGAAATCGAATATTATTTTGACAATATAAATTAGAAAATAATAAAATAATAATATTTATTTTGGCAAAATTGTAAAATATATGAAAATTATATTCTATTTCAGTAATAAAATTATATTTCATATATTAATGACCGTTATTTATATTCGTTGGCATTTTGTATTAATTGCGTATCCATTTAATTACTTCAACTAAACTTAGGTGTAATATGATAATTTTTTTTTCCGAAGAAATCGAATATTATTTTAACAATATAAGTTAGAAAACAATAAAATATAATATTTATTTTGGCAAAATTGTAAAAGATATGAAAATTGCACTTTTCTTATGTAATCCAAACACGAATTAAGCACCAATATGATTTTTCATGTCACGAAATATTTATTTTAAGATTTAAAAAAAAGAAAACCATCTATGGCTGCACCGCACAACATATATGCAACATCTGATCTTTCGTAACTGATTGTTTTTTAGAAGACATTTCATTTAAAACCTATTGCGCGTGTTTTACGTTCGAGTATATTTTACATAATTTCGAAACCGTTTGGTAAATTTCATGTAAATATTTTTTTGTATTACATTGTCTATAACTAAATATTAATTAATCATAAAGTTTAATTACTAAAATGATCAAATTTATTCAAACTAACCGGAAAAATAACCATTGTCTTTGAAAATTTAACAAAATGAACATGTTGTTCGTTAAATTAAAAAATTTATTTATTGTTATTTAGCAATATTATGTTTAATTATTTTATATAAAAGTTTTTAAAAATCATATCATCACAACCAATCAATGATCTTTACATTTTATTTGTATATGATTAAACTAAATAACTTTTTAATTTATAAGAATTTTTAATTATTATATGGTTAATTTCAATTTTTTGTAACAGTCTACGGACGTTAAAAAATAAACATACTTCTTATTATAGATTACAACCGTTGGTTCATCTTATCAAGTTGACTTAAACATGCCAACCAATGAAAATGTGGTTTGATAGAAACTGTCTGTTGTTCCTAAACTATTATTTTAAGCGCTTTTTGCCTAACGGTAAAGATCGATTATGGTTCAATTTTGGTTGGAGATATATGTGTTAATTTAGGAATAGTTTAGTTTGCTGATAAAAACAAAAATAATTAAAATATTATAATATATTTTAAAAATTATTTACTAAAAATCATTTATTACAAGCTATAACTACAGAATAAACATTCAACCGTAAAAAAAAACCAACAAATTGCAGAAAAGGACCTCGTCTTTTTTACCTATAAATAAATCTTGTGTAGAGCCTAGTACGCACACTTGTTCCTTTTAGAATTCCTCAATTCTCCTCCCTGTCCACAAATGTTCACAAAAACAAGCCCTAATTTCCCTCCTTTTATGTCTCAAAAGCAATGGTTAAACTCTCTCTTTGAATGCTGTTATAGTTTCTTTCAGTAGAAAATCAACTGTTTTTGCTGTTCTATCAAAGATCGTGCTAGATTTCTAGGGTTTTTAAGGTCATTGAAAAACCCCTTCAAAATTTTAGCCTATTCTACTTCAAATTCCGTAGGGTTTTTGTTTTTTGTGCTTACAACGAGTTTTGTTAGGTTTTGAATGGTACGAGTAGACTGAGGTGCATCAGACTACTTTTTGTCCGAGGAGAAACCTAAGATAGTGAGAGAATTTGAAAATGGTGACGACAGATGTTGAGCTGCAACTAACGCAACAGCTCAAGGAGGCAGGGAAGCGGCTTTTACGGCCCCCGACTTCCGATGATGAACTTCTCCATGTTCTTGATGTAAGCCTTCATTTCTAAACCTTTTACGAGTTTGTTTGTTCGGTTTGTTTCTAGCATCCATTTCTGGAGGGTTTGTTGGGCAGTCTGAAATGTAATTATCTGTACTTTTGAGTCTTGCATGTTGTTTCTTGCTACTTATACCACCAATTTGGACGTTTTATGGTTAATTTGAGATTAGATAGTATCTTAATTTTGCATGATTATGCTGATTACTTTGTTCGGATTTAGTAATTGTCATGAGAGCATTGCTACATTTGTAATTTGCATTTATGTTACTTTTATGAACAGAAGTAGCAAAGTTTAGGTTCTCAGTGATCGTCAGTACTAGGGCGTATATTGAAAGGGTTAGAATCTAGCAATACTCGATTTGCCCTAATTCCTCAAAAAGGAGCCTCACTACATACCAAGAAAAACCCATATCCTTCACCTTAGATGGAGGGAGTAGCTTATCTGAATATCTTTTTGTTCCTTTCATAGAGAAATTTGAAAGGCGAAACGACCATACATGGTATTTAACATAGAAGATTAGATGAAGCTATATGCTACCTATAAGGTGTATGGAACTTCTGTAACACTGTTTTACTCTTAACCTTTATAATTCCCGTGTGACAATTGTCAAACTTTACCTGCATTATAGTTTATCTACCTTAATGCCCTGAATTTGTAATGAATCCTTTAGGCCATGGGATTTCTTCAGATTTAGATAACCAAAACGAGGTACTACAAGATACATAAAGAACATAATGTCTATATAAATCGTCTTTAGGTCATGTCTGAATCCGAATATAGGTAGTTTATAAATATAGGTTATCTATAGAATCAAACATGATTATACTCACGTAAATAAACTGTATGCGCAATAGGTAGTATGAAATAATAACAACTAGCATTGTAATTATGAGAAGTAATCACACGGGTATCCGGTATCTGATAGGATCTTAGCAGTATTCAAAGGCTAATGCAAGCCTATAGTTGTTTGTTTTATGTTTATTCCTTAATAAAACTTTAGAAGTAGGATTTTGTTGATCTAATTGGTTTTTGTTTACTTGTACATTTCAGCAAACGGATAAACTTCTATCGATGGTGGATCAATCTCCCAATGATTTAATGAAAGAAGTACTAACTCCATTACAAAAGTGCTTGGTTGATAGAAGTCTTGTAGATCATTCAAATGTGGATGTGAAAGTTGCAGTGGCTGCATGTCTCAGTGAAATAACAAGAGTCACAGCACCTGAAGCCCCGTTTGATGATCAGGAACTGAAGGTACAACAGATCAAACATTAAACTGTCTCATAATACTCTTTCCAAAGATTCAGTTTATTTATATTTTATATTTATATCTACAGGATGTCTTTCGCTTGATTGTTTCTACATTTGAGAATTTATCAGACAAGTCCAGCCGTTCGTATATCAAGAGGGCCTCAATTCTTGAAACTGTTTGCAAAGTTAGATCATGTGTTCTTATGCTTGATCTTCAATGTGAAGAGTTGATTGTGGAGATGTTTGAACACTTTCTGAAATCAATAAGGTATGTTGTTTGTTATAGAGAGTACCTTAACTTAACTACCATTTCAAGTTATTTTAGTAATGACGCATGAATACCCTTTTTACATTTTATCCGTGTTACCTAAAACGTTTTGCTTTCTTTTCAATTTCAGGGAACATCATCCCGACATCATATTTTCATCAATGGTAGATATTATGAGCCTTATCTTTGAAGAAATCGAAGAAGTTTCAAATAACTTGCTTAAACCACTACTGTTTAGCATTAAAAATGACAGCGAAGTATTGTTTTTCCCTAATTTCCTTTCTTGCTTTGTTTTTTTTTTTTGACAAATGACAAATGACAACAAATGACTTTCCTCTATGTAGGGAGTTCTACCAGTGGCACGAAAATTGGGGGAAAAAATACTTGAGAGGTCTAGAGCTATACTCAGGCCTTATTTGAGTAAAACCTTTCCTGATTTAGGTGATTCATTAGATAACTATAGCCCAGTTTTGGCTGCTGTATGTGAAGGGGCAACTGTTTTTGAGCAAAATGATGAGAGTGATTTGGTGCAGCAACAGGTATAATTTGAAAGTTATCTCACTACATGCTTCTTGAAGTAATTGTATTGATGACAATGACATGATCTACTTTTTTGTTTAAACTCTTATATTCCAGACTGATGAGAACAAATTGGCCAAGGAATGTTCAGAAGAGGCACCACAGGCATGCTATTTATTTTATTTTTGATCCTGTAAAGTTTCTTTTCTATTATGTAACATGCTTTCTTTCTGTATGAATTATGAAATGCTACAGGCTGATGAGACCAAGATTACAGTAGTATCTTCGGAAGAGACAAGTCAGGTGGTTAAAGAGAATTCAGAAAGGCCTGCAGAGATTGTTGCGACTCCCACCAGAATTTTGAAAATAGTTATGAGCAATGGAGGAAGAGTTACTTTGACTGAAAAAGATTCATCACCTGTTAAAGAGTCCTCAAAGAAGCCAGAAGAAGCCATTGAACATCAAGATTCTAGTTTGGCTAGTAAAGCCGACATTAAAGATTCATCACCTGTTAAAGAGTCCTCAAAGAAGCCAAAAGAAGCCATTGAACATCAAGATTCTAGTTTGGCTAGCAAAGCCGACATTAATGATTCGGTTGCTGAGTTGGCACATGTAGAATACGAAAAGGAAGGAAATAAGATTGATGCCACATTGGAATCAGTCCAACCTTCCAATTCTTCTCATGGTGAAAACAAAGATGAGAGAGAAAATGATATTCAAGTTTCTGTTCCAGAAATAGAATCAAAACCAGAAGAGACTTCCAATAAGGAAACCATGACATCAGCCGAACCTTCTGTTTCTTCTCATGCTGAAAGTAAAGACGAGAAAGGCGATGAAAAGAAAGATGATGAAAATAAGGATGATGGAAATAAGGATGATGAAAAGAAAGATGATGAAAAGAAGGATGATGAAAAGAAAGATGATGAAAAGAAGGATGATGAAAAGAAAGATGATGAAAATAAGGATGATGAAAAGAAAGATGAGAAAGCTGATGAAATTCAAGTGTCTGAAACCGAGGTTGTAAATGGTCCATCACAAAGTGGAAGCCTTCCGGAAGAGATGAATGTTGAGAAGGTATCAGCTCAAGAAGAGGAATCTGAGGTGGCAAAGGCTGGTTTAGAATCACAAAGTGGGGGCCTACAGTATAAGATTCATATTAGAAAAGGTCCTCGTTCAAAGAAAAAGAGTATGATTAAAGATGATACACCTCTAATAGATGTTATAAAGAAAAAGAAGGCATCCATCTTTCAGAAAGATAAACTTCCAGTTCCAGCTACAACTGCCACACCAGAAGACGAGAAAAAAGCGGATACAGTTGCTTCAGGGGCAAAATCCGGTAAGAAAGTGGGCGGTGGTGGTTCAGCGAAAAGGAAGCGTAAGATGTCTGGTAAGAAAAGTGGTGGTGGAAAGTCGGGGGCAAAAAAGGCAAAAAAGTCATTGATTGAAAAAGATGATGAGAGTGATTCTTTTGATAAACCACTGAGACAGTCTTCTGCTGGTAAAGAAGATGAAACTGATTCAGATTCAAAGCCAATTAAGTTACCTGCTATTGCTAAAAAAGGTAACAAAAACACTTCTTCTTCAGCAAAGAACAAAGATGGAAAAAAGAACGCCTCAAGTAGTAAAAAAAAACTTGAAGAGAAGGACCAAGCAAAATCCTTGCCTGAAGATGATGATGATGTAATCGTAAGTTGTTTATTTTACTGATTTTCCTTTTTTACCTTTTTTTTTGCACTTGGAGTAATCAAACTATTTACCTTTTTTAAGGGGATGGATATTTCTCCAAAGCTTGCGGAAGAAGGTAAATCGGAGGAAAGCTTAAAAAGAAAAAGATCCGTTGGTAAAAATAATGTAATGCTCATAACTCTTTGACTTTTTTATTTATTTAGAAGAAGGAATCAAAAGTTGACTTTTTGTTTACTTATTATAGTCACAGGCTAACAAGAACGTAAAGTATGATGATAGCCTGATTGGTTTGAAGGTTAAAGTTTGGTGGCCGGATGATCATAAGTAAGCGGCCTAAGACCTAGTTTTAAAACTTTATTTAAAGATTTGACATGTTTTTATCTCATGATTATTATTCACATTCTTATTTCTTAATTGCAGGTATTACGAAGGTGTTATTGAATCCTTTGATTCTGCTAAAAACAAGCATAAGGTCATTTCGATACTTACCTTTTAATTTTTTATAAAGTTTTAAGTTATCGTTTTATATCACTCATGTTATTATGGGAGTTTAATTAATAAAACAGGTTTCATATGTTGATGGAGATGTAGAAACATTGAATCTTAAAAAAGAAAAATGGGAAATTTTGCAAGAGTTTTCTGCACGAAATGAGGTGAATTCTATTTCTATTTCTATGTATGCTGATTTTTTTTGCCAAATTATCTTTTTCTTTAAAAATATTATTTATTGATTAAATAACAGAAGAAACCGGCTGAAGTTCATAGCACTGATGATGATGAGACATTATCCAAAATTATTACTTACAAATCAAAGGGTAAAAGTGACTCCGCAAAGTCAAAGTCAAAATCAAAGTCAAACGGTGTTGATGAAAAAGAATTAGATGATGGTGATGCTGCAGAAAAGTCAACCGAGGGTGAAAAGAGTGGGTCAAAGGGCGGAAAGAAGAGAAAGAAGATGTAGGTACCTCTTGGATGGGATCGGATCTTCTGTGATATACTAGTTTTTTACATTACAATGGATTGGTAGATGTGGGTAATTAGTTAAAGTCCAGATATAAGAGTAGTCAATAGTCATGTTGAAATTGCTTGGTAGAAGGTAATTGTGCTTAAGTTTGTATCTTATAGTAAGTAGGCTAAAATTTACCTGTATCTTTTGAAGACCTACAGTAGGGGGGGTAATTAGTAAGGCTAATTTCTGTTATAAATAGCGTTGGATGTGTAGTGTGTTGGCTTTTATGCTTTCTTCTAAAAACTTTGCAAATTATATATAACTTTTGCTTATCTTTCAAAAAACATCAAGTTTTCAGCTCAAAATGGTGAGATATGTGGATCTGAATGAAATTGTGAGGTTAAATATCATTAGTGGCTGTTTAAGATCCAATAAATCGGTTCCTTTAAACGAAGTAACATACAACTCTATTGATTTGTATCAATTTCATTCAGCGAAATGGTGCCATATTAAAATCATCAATCTTGTATTAATTTTGTTTCAGTTATATAATCATTGGTTAGAACATTTAACGGTATAAGTTTATTTATTTCACATCTAGAAAAGGAAAAAATTACGCTTTTATTGTAAAAGTTGTACATGATGTGTTTAAAGTGCAAGTGATCTATCAAATATGTGATGTGATCTATCAAATATGTGATGTGAAACACGTCACAGCCCCAAAACCGAACTACTTTTTCTTGGGGATGAAAAAAGAAATTGATGATAAAAGAGGAAAATTGTGTATGTGTCTAATGGCTAATGACTCCTTTATATACCAAAACTTGTCATATTTCCAACTATCTACATTATCGAAGTCCAAACAACAGCAAAAGTTGCTTTTGGGGATTAGTTAATTAATGTACATGTTGGGTTTTCAGACATAAACTCCACCTCATCTTGATTCTCGAGGTAAAAAGGTCACTAATGAGGTGTGCCACCTCCCATAAACTAGTCCGGACGCGCCAAGCCTGAACCTTGAACGAAAGACCGAAGCACTAGGGTCAGCGCGATACATGGCCATATTGAACGAAACGATGATGCTTTTGGTCGAAGCATTTGAATCAAATACGTTGTGAACAAGCATCCTATGAAATTACATCAAAAGGGCATGGGGAATGACATACGATATAGCCTGTGATTGCCGAATAATTCGTTCTAACTCGTGTATTCATAATGACAAGACTGACTACACTTCCTAAACACTATTTTTGTACCTTCGACCTCAACTACATTAATGAAGACGAGACAATGTGACGTCCCCATTTTCACGATCAGAAAAGACCGATTTTGTTTATGCTTTATAAAAATCAGAGTACCTCTTTTAATAAAAATGTTGCGGAATTTGTTCCCAGTAAAACATGATAAATACGTTATTAAAGCATTTCCGAAGAAAAATATTTTTATTCATTTTTAAAGCATTTGGGATGTCATTGTCAATACAGTAAATAAACATAAACAAAACTTACATTCATTATCACTAGTGATTTATATATCTTTAATCTTGTGACATCCCCATTTTCACGGCCAGAATAGACCGATTTCGTTTATGCTTTATAAAAATCAGAGTACTTCTTTTAATAAAAATGTTGTGGAATTTGTTCCCTATTAAAATACGATAAATACGTTATTAAAACATTTTCGAAGAAACGTATTTTATTCATTTCAAAACGTTTGAGATGTCATCGTTAATACAGAAACATAAGCATAAATAGAACTTACATTTATTTATTCTAGTGATCTACATCTCTTTAAATCTCTCAGTGTAATGTGACTTCATATCAACACCTGTGATATAAATGTGATATAAATAAACTGAGTGAGTCAGGTTGGGAAACCTGGTGAGTACATATGGTTTTCAACCCACAATAATATAATTATTATGTTTAAACACTCAAACAATCAACCCAATTATCCATCCCCATTAACTTCTTTACTCTTAAGGATTTAACCTAAGAGTCATCTATCCTGCATTTGTTTATTCCGAAGTCCCTTACTTCCAGGGTCATAGGACTGACACTAAATACATAGCTGCCAATGTTCGTTCGTAAAGCACTAATTCCATAGCTGCTATAGTCTACTCATCGGGTACTAAATCCATAGCTACCAGTGTTCATCTAATTGGTACTAAGTCCATAGCTACCAATTCCTAACAGGTACTAAATCCATAGCTACCAACGTCTAACAGGTACTAAATCCATAGCTACCGGTGTTTGTCCAATAGACACTAAGTCTATAGCTGCCAATGTATACTCTCATCATCTTATATTTCTCGTCATTCATCTACCCATGTTATACCCAACATATTCGTATATATAAAATACATATACAATTTAAATCATTTAAAACATGTATAAAACGTTCATCCAACATAGACAGCAAATATTCGGATAATATGCACACATAGCACGCAGTTTATATAAAATACTTCATATATATGCGTAAGATGAAAGGGAACTATGCACTCACCTGATAAGGTGATGACTTGGTACTCGGACAACACTTCGTTATTGTTAAAACAATTTTCCTCGGGCAAAACCTAGTATCATTACCACTAGAGTTTAGTCTAACGTTAACTGCGACTAATTAATAGTCTAGATATTATTATTATTATATAAGCGTTAAGAAACACTCTTATATAACTCATAATAATATCCCAAATACTCATTTTAATTTCCTAATAACGTTACTATATTAAAACATAAGCTATACAAAAGATAGGGTAGGTATAGCTCCCTTAAAACGGTTTTTTTTTTTTTTTTTTGCAAAATTGGGCTTCGCTGGAGCAGCGTTTCCGAGCTGAAAGGCTCCACCTCTCGGAGCTTCCCGATGCTCCGGGACTTGCTTTTAACACCTTGGAGGTGCTAAGGAAAAACCTTGAAGGTTTGGGGGTATTTGGGAGGAAAGAAGTGGAGAGTTGTGAAGAAAATGAGAGATTTTCGCCTCTTTTTATAGGCTTCCAGCGCCGAGTACGCCGAGCGTACTCAAAAATTACGCTAAGCGTAATGGTTACGCTGAGCGTAATCAAAATTACGCTGGGCGTAATGTGCCACGTGTCACCATCTGGTGGCTAGCCTTGGGGAGGAAGCAACGACTGTGATCTCGCCACGTCACCCAAACTCGCACAACACCCTCCCGACTTAGAAAAATCATAACTTTCACATACGAGCTCCATTTTCGATGTTCTTTATATCCACGCGAAGGTGGGAACGTACTCTACAACTTTCGTTTAGACTCCGTCGGCTAATTTTGGGTCAATTTTAAATTTTATATTATTAACAGGCCGGGACATGATTGGTCCGTTAAATTCTCATAACTTCTTCATCCGATGTCCGTTTTCGCCCATCTTTTTCTCGTTACGCTACTCTTCATGATCTTCGATTCTCTTTTAGGTTGTGTCGGATAAAACCGCTCGATCTAATATTCGAATTTCGGACTGTACACTGCTAATTCGAAACTTCGAAAAATCATAACTTCTGCATACGAAGTCAGATTTGGGCGTTCTTTTTATCGATGTTCTTAGTTTAACACATTCTACGACTTTCGTTTATATTGATAAGGCTAAAAATCGCTCTATCGTAAATTCACTATTTACGCTTCCCGGTGCCGTGTCGGTTCCATCGCAAAACTTCGACGGGTCATAACTTCTTCGTTATAACTCGGATTTCGGCGTTCTTTATATGTACAGAAACGTTGTAATATATTCTACAACTTGTTTAAGATTATTTATTCTAAATAATCTTTTGTCGAAAATTCATTTTCGACCCCTATTGCCTCTAAATTGACTAGCCCAGATCTACGGGCGTTACAAATCTCTCAGTGTAATGTGATTTCATATCAACACCTGTGATATAAATAAACTGAGTGGGTCAGGTTGGGAAACCTGGTGAGTACATAGGGTTTTCAACCCACAATAATATAATTATTATGTTTAAGCATCAAACAATTAACCTAATTACCGATCCCCATTATCTTCTTAAGGATTTACCCTAAGAATAAACTACTCCTCGTTCATTCATTTCTAAGGATCATCCTAAGGAAACAACACGAAGTCCATCGTTGCTAATGACATAGTTGTCAAGCACAACTGCTAATATTATCACTTAGGCGCAACTACCAGAATTGTGACATTCTCTATGAGGCGCTTCTGCCGGTATTGTCCTTTAAACACTACTGTCATGGTTATAATGTTCTATATTAGACACAACTACCGATACTATCCTTAGAGCGTAGCTGCTAGGATGTTTATCATAGATCTAAAACATCTACAAATTTTGGAGCAACTGCCTGTGCTCATCTATAGGGTATTAGGTCCATTGTTGCCAATGTTCACCTATAGGGCACTAGGTCCATACTACTAATGTTCCTCTATTTCAGCCTTCATACCTTATCATTCATCTACCCATGTTTTACCCAACATATTTTGTAGATATAAAATACATATACAATTTAAATCATTTAAAACATGTATAAAATCGTTCATCCAACATAAACAACAAGTATTCAGACAATATGCACACATAGTACATAATTTATATAAAATACTTCATATCTATATGTAAGATGAAAGTAACTATGCACTCACATGTTAAGGTGGTGATTCTGAACTTAGACAACGCTTCGTTACTTTTGAAATGTTTTCCTTTGTCGAAACCTAGTATCATTACCATTAGGGTTTAGTCTATCATTCACCGAGACTAATTAATAGTCTAGCTATTATTACTTTTATATAAGTGTTAAACAATACTTATTATAAGTTCTTAATAACGTTACTATAATTAAATAAAAGCTATATTAAAAATAGCGTAGACGTAGCTCACTTACAACGGGTTTTATAGAAAATCGGGCTTCGCTTGGAGAAGCGTTTTTGAGCCGAGGGCTCTTCTTTTCGGAGCTGTCAGGCGCTCCGGGGCTTCCGCCTCATGCTAGGTAGTTACCCTAGGCTTTGGGGGGTTAGGGAGGCTTAGAGAGAGAGAGAGAGAGAGAGAGAGAGAGAGAGAGAGAGAGAGAGAATTTAGAGAGAGAAAGAAGGGTTTAAAGGTGTGAGGAAATGGCATGATCCGACATTTCTATTTATAGGGTGAAATCCTGACGGACTCGCTGAGTCGGTACCACTTGTCAGCTTTCTGGTGGCAAAACGTGAGTGGCCTACATTGTGCCACGTCACACCTTTTGCAACAACACCATGTCGACTTCTAAACTCCGTAACTTTCGCATACAAACTTCGTTTTCGACATTCTTTATATCCACGCGTAGGTAAAAACAAGATCCACAACTTTCATTTTGACTACATAGTCTAATTCTCGACCAATGTTAAATTTAATAGTAGGAGGAGATTAG